CGTTGGCACCGGCAAAAGGTTGAACAAGCCCAATGCTACCAACGCCGCCGAGTTAAGAAGGGTCCAGCTCCTCGACCATCGTGAGACTATGATGTTTTTCGCTGCCGAGCGAGAGCGTGAGGGCAAGGTCGTTGCTCGCGCGCACACGGAGGAGGTCACAGTTCGTGACGAGGTGACCGCGAAGGACGTCTTCCAGCGCGAGCACTGCCGATGCCGAGACCTTGGCGCCGACGCGGGTGAGAATCGCAACGAGCGCGTCAAGGTTGGCCTCCAAGATGCCGCCTTCGTCGACGCAACTTTGGCCGTGAGCTCGGCAATGAGCGGGTCGATATGGGGCGAGAACGAGGTGGACAAAGGCCGGGCCACCGCACGCACAGACGCGCTTGCGCCGTGAAGAATGTCGTCTGCAGCCGCGGCAAGAACGGATGAGCGGACCTGTGATATTGGCGAGAACGCTTTGAGGCACGCGGGCGACGCCAGCCGCAGCGAACTGGTGCGCTTCGAGCGTACCGTTCATGAGCGCGTGCTGGTAGGCCGGCAGGAACAAGTCGAGGCCTTGGGCAGCGCAAGCGCCGGCAAGAAAAAGAGATCTGTGGCACCAACACCGCCCTTGCGATGGCGCGAGTCACTGAAATCGAGCTGAGGTTGTTGTAAATAACGTCGATGTGCTTGGCGAGCTCGTCAGGCCTGATCGTCGTGCTATGGCTGCTAAACGCAGTCTCGACGACCGACACGTCGCTGTCGTTGAAGCGCGCGAGGACATACTTGGGAAAGATCGGGACTTGCTCGACGTACGAGAAAGTCGCCGACTGGCAAAAGGCTGCAATGAGCCAGCACTCAAGAAACCGCGTCTCGGCAATGTCGGCTTCGCAGTACTTGCAAATCTCAGCGGCAAGCCACTGGACACCGGCCGCCTCGCCACTTGACGCAACCGCACGCACCGAGTGCTGGATCGCTGCCGCCCTATCGTCGTCCGGGCGACTCGTGACGACCGAAACGGTGTTGTTGAAGAGCGCGGCACGAGGTACGGAAGCACCACGCGCGACTTGACCTTGACATTCCGGAGGCCAGCAAGCGCGTACTCTTGGACGAGGTCGTCCACCGACGTGATACGCTTGAGGAGGCGCGGGATGAGCTCGTCAAACGAGCGGTAGCACATGCTCTAAACGCACCACCGGCCGCGCGGCGGACCTCGGGCGGCGCGTCGCAAAGTACGTCTTCGAGCGCAACGACAAGCGTCTCGACGGAATCGTCGAGTTGTCTCCTGGGCGAGCACTGGATGACCTCGGCGAGTTCGAGGCAGACGCCTTGACGCGTGCCGGCGGGGCTCGTCCCGCGCGCAGGATAAGGACGACCTCGGGCATGACACACTCGCCAAGCTAGCGCACGATTTCGCCGAGCGTGCACGCGACGTTTTGCTTCTCGACGCTCTTGCCGGAGAGCGCTTGCATGAGCGTCTCGAGCATCGATTGCAGCGTCTTGGGCGGGCTGGAGCGTCCAGGGCAGCGTCTTGGGCGGGTTGGAGACGACACTCTTCCACACCTGGAGCGTGCTCTGGCGAACAACGGCCGACGTAAACGAGCGCATCATGTAAAGCGCAGCGAGAACGGCGTCGCGGCGCGGCTTGCTGAGGATCTCGAGCATCGCCTTCTCGCCAGCGGCGCTGCCTGTAGCGGCGCCGTCTTCGTCGTCGTGGGCACACATGACAACCATCTGCGTGCCGCTGTCGTGGTACAACAAGTCGCCGAGGAACGAGATCGACGACTCACGAATGTCGTCAAAGAGATTCTTCGTGTTGGAAAGCGCGTGTGCGTTGACGACAAAAAGCGCATGGCCACGTCACGGACACCTTCCGACTCATGCGAGAGACCAGACACGATCATCTGGAGCGCCTTGGCAAGGCGAGAAGCCCTTGCCGAGCGCCGGCGGGAGGAACGCCAGCACACAGTGGGCCGTGGCCTTGGGTGGCGCAATCGGAAGGATTTCGTCGCGGAGACCGTGGTTGAGCACACCCGGGCCAAGCTTGACGAGTACCTCGCAGAGCCCCTGGGCCGAACCCGACAGCTCGACCGATGACGACTCCGACTCGATGGTTTGCAGCAGCGACGGCACGAGGTGTGAAGAGTGACTCTGGCCGAGACCCTTGACGAGCATAACAAGCGCTTTGGACGCGACCGTGCGGACCTCGGGAGCGGCATCTCGAGCCAGGCAGGGCGCGATCGTGTCGAGGAGATACGGCGTGAGGTCCTTGGCGTCGTTGACCATCGCGCACATGCTGCTGACAACAATCTTCTCGGAGATGCGGGTGTCGTCAAGACGCGCCGAAGCACGGATATGACGAGCGCAAGCGACGGCGCGTCGATCGAGTGCCCCAGCTTCATCGACTGCAGCGTCCGCCGTCTTGCGGGTCGGGTCCTGGAAGCCGGCGAGCAAAATCGAGGCGATTGAGACAATCTAAGGGTTGTGCACGACACGCGCAATGTCGAATGCGCAGCCTCCTTCATGCGCGGGTGTGAATCCGAGAGCGACGCCGTGAGCTTCGAAATGATCTGCGGCGAGCACGAACCAAGCCGTTTCGACGCAGACGACCCGATACAAATGGCAGTCTGCTTGGTACGCCACGCCGGATCGTCGACTGCGCGCAAGACCGAGGTGAAAATGAACTTGCCACCGTGCGCCGAGAGG